CTATTGATAGGAAAACAAAATATGGTAGAGGCCACATCACAGATAGCTAGTGGGAAGCCAAGACTTGAACCCAGGGAGCCTAATTCTTAAACTGCTGAAGCTCCTCTCCAAGGGCCTGTTTGGACTTTTCCTAGTTCAAGGAAAATGCTGAAGGATCGATGTAGCAAAGCCTGGTGTTTTCCCTCTGCTGAGCTTGGTCACATGACAGTAATGATGCCTTGGGATTCCTTCCCTTCTTTCCTTTTTCTTATTCTATTTTCCTCTTCTTTTCTTTCTTTTGGTCTCTTTTTTTTTCCTTTCAACATCAGTCATGGAACTCACACTCCAGAGATGGGGTTCTCCCTCCAGGCTCACAGTCACCCCAACGTGTATAGTGTCCTGCTTCTGTTCATCATGGCAGAGGCCACCACGCCATGAGAAGCATATTAGATTCAGCCCTGTCTGCATTCTACCTTTACGTGCCCTTTCTTATCTCTAATTGTTTAAGTTTTGAATGTTTTAAAGAAATATTCACATTTATTTTATGTGTATGAGTGTATTATTTTATGTGTATAAGTGCACACAGGCCATGAATTGCCTGCAGAGACCAAAAGAGGGTGTCAGGTGAACTGCAATTCAGATAGTTGTTAACTGTCATGTGAATGCTGGGGACCAAGCACTGAGAGGCAGAAAGTTCATGCTCTCCTCTTATGGCCAGAAGGACAAGGCTGAGCCTGCTTCCATCTGGGATGGCAGCTCTCTACACACAATCCACTGCTGTCATATCGTCATGCAAAGAACTGTCAGAGTCTGTCTCTTGTGCTGTGGACTCTACTCTCCTTTGTATTGATTTACTCCTTGGTTATGCTGGAGCATGTTCTCAAGTTTTCTGTAATAGGGTAAATGAGAGGTTTTTGAGATCTTGCCTATATGAAAATATTTTTATTCTTGCCACACACAAGTGATTTGCCTGGGAATCGAGGACAGAGTTTGAAAAAAATTTTCTTCAACTGTTTGAAGATCTCAACTGCCATAGTTACAATGAATTAAATGTTGTCTATTTTTTTAATCAAAATTATAACTATACTGAGAGAATGTGGAGGTAGAGTATGTTTTTTTTTTTTAATGTGTAAGAGTGTTTTACCCATATGTACGTAGTGCACCCATGCATGCAGTGTCTACGGAGGACAGAAGAGGGCATCAGATCCCCCGGAACTGGAGTTATCGATGGTTGTTAGCCCCGCGTAGATCCTGAGAGCAGAATCAAGACCTCTGCAAGGGTAGCCGGTACTTTCAACAGCTAAATCATCTCTCCAGCCTGAGTGTGAGATTTTTAAAGATCTTAGGAAATGCTTTCTAAAATCCTTCATTTCAAGAACGAGTATAAATTATCTAATGCCTAAAACTACAAATTGCAAAACTATTCAGAAACGTAGAAATGTGTGGCCCAGAGCTGGACGGGACATCCTTGTGCAAGAAAACTGTCAGGAAGGGAGGGAACGGGGTAGCACGCTTTTTGTGTTAGACATCTAGAACATTCTGACTCCTCAGACAATGTGCATGTCCAAAACCTGTGAAGAGCCAGGCATAAGGGTACCTCTTACTCTCTCTCCAGTCTTCTCCAGGGACCATCAGTGCCACCCCATTCCTCTGATACCCCTGTCCTTGGGGTCACAGATGACCTCCTCCATGTTGCAAATCCAATGGACACTGTTCTGTTTTCAGCTTCGTTAACATGATCAAAGCATCTTCCACTTGGAAATGTCAGGAGACATCTCTGTCTTCATCTCTGAAATACTCACCCCCTGACACCCTTACATATTTCCCTACCTGGTCCTTCACACATTCCTTTGCCAGGTCTTTACTTATAAATGAGGATATGCCTTGGGCTCAGTCCTTCATGATCTTTACTTTTTCTTCCTTTAAAAGCAAACTGTAAGGGAAACCCGAGTATACAGACTTTATGACCTGATGTGGAATGTAAGATGTGTTCTTGACTTGTTAAAATACGGATTCCCTTTTCCATTCTTATTTCCATCCAGTATTCCCTCCTCTCAGAGTCCTAGAAAATTGCTGCCCTGTGTTTGTTTTGTACCCTTTTGTTTGTGTGTATCCTTATAAAAATTGTATGGTTATTTTGTGTACTTGGAATTACACAGGTTATTTGAATTACATCAGCTATTCTTTTTCTTAGCCATTTTCTTAGTGAATCGTCTTTTTTGGGGGGGTTGTTTTATTTTATTTTTAAAATTTATTTATATTTTACATGTATGGGGGTTTTGCCTGAATGTAAGTGCACCCATGTCATGCAATGAATACCCAAGGAAGCCAGAAAAGGGGATTGGATCCCCTGGAAGAGTGGAGCTACAGACCATTGTTAGCTACCGTGTAGGTGCTGGAAAACGAACCCAGGTTTTCTAGAAGAGCAGCCAATCCTTTTTACCACTGAGCCATCTCTGCAGCCCCTCTGTTTGCTTTTTGAGACGGTATCCTGCTATTTAGCAAGGGCTGGCCTGGAACTCTCAATCCTCTTGCTGTAATCTCCTGAATGTTGGAATGAGGTGGGCTAGTCCTCTCTTCTTAAACAAATTATCCATTCCTGTGATTCTTAACACCATCTTTCTGCTGATGTACTGATAATACTTTTCCAGCCTAGACTCTTTCTAACTCCAGGCATATATCCAACTGTATACTTAATAGTTCTGTTTTGTTATCTAACTCAATGCTCACGTTTCAAAATTAAAATTCCGCAAGTGGCAAATCTTGATTCCTCAGTTTTCCCATAAAAACATTTTGAATCTTCCTTGCTTCTTGAACACTGCATGCACTCCCTAAACATACATACATACATACATATGCTATACCAAACTTGCCAACACATTCTGACTATTGTGACTCAAAATTATACCTTGGCCCCGTCCACCTTCCTCTCTCTTCCTTTCCACCAGTTCTTTTAAAAAAAAAAAAAAAAAAAAAAAAAAAAAAAAAAAAAAAATCAGGCGGTCATGTATTATAGTAAACACAACAAAGGAAATAAGTAAGCAGATACTGAGGCAATGCGCTGGAGTACTTCTTTCAGGTAAGGCCATCAATAAAGGATATTGCATTTGAGCCGGGATCTGAATGAAAGCCAGCTGTGTGAAGATTAAAGCGCGCTCTGACTAGAAAGCTGCAAGTACAAAGGGTCTAGTTAAGGGAGTAAATGATTGTTGAGCAAACTGATAATAAGGAGAAAACATTCTCCCGGTTGCCACAGTGTAAGAAGGAGAAAAGCACCAGAGAAACATTGGTTTATTTGGCTGTAAAAACATGCAGAGGATGCACAAAGGACCAAATTCTTAAGAGTGTTGGCTGCTCGGGGCAGTTAATCTTATCAATTCCTAACTGGTCCTGTAGCCTGAAGTTCTGACTCAGAAGACAGGGGTTAGCAACCGTTAGATTTTCCTCTCTAAGAGGAGAAGGTGGCACTGAACTTCCTGAAGCACACCCTACCCCCCCGCACCAGTGTCCTCTTCTGACCCCCATGGGCATTGCACGACACAGGTGCACTTACATACATGCAGCCATAACACTCATACACATAAAATAAAAAATAAATAAAACAAAATACATTGACTGAAATTTTCAAAAATTCAACCAAAAAGTCTGCCAAAAAGAAGAAAGAAAATGCGTCCAAATGAAGATACTCATATTAGGGAAATTGTCAGTCTCAGAAAGACAAATATTGCATGATTGTGGGTCCCAGATTTTTTTATAGTATATGTTACCTATTATAAACAAACAAGCAGATAAATAAATTCACAGCAGTTTTCCAAGAACTCTAGCATACTCACCCACAGGGGTCACTATTAAGTGACGTTTTGTTCTTGTCCCAGCCCAGGGGAACACTCCTCTGAATTCTTTTTGTACTCACCAGAAAACAGAAAACAACAACAACAACAACAAAAACCCTTGTTTACTTTCTCATTTTATTTTATACCACAATATATTCCAGAGAAGAGGTTCAACTAATCAATAGGCACAAAAACCAAGTAATATACATCTCCAACGAAGTGAGACAGACAAGAGTAGGTAGGTGCTCCAAATGCAGAAATGATTATAGTAATGTGCTCACCATCCTGTCTGTGGTAAAGGCACAAGCTAGATTCTAAAGTCCAAGGCTAAAAAAAAAAAAAAAAAGTACGTTCAGTCAGTTAAACATCTACAAATCTTGCTGAGGAGACATGTCTGTTCAAGGCAACCAGTCCAAGAGGGTATTTAAAGTGGAATTCTTGCCCAATCCCTGAAGCATGGATATGTTGTGAAATGGTTTCATCTCTCTCAGAGAAGTAGAAGATGGGGGCTGGAGAGATGGCTCAGCCGTTAAGAGCACTGACTGCTCTTGCAGAGGACCTGCAGCATCTACATGACAGCTACGAACCCCTTAACTCCAGTTCCAGGAGAATCCAAAGTCCTCTTCTGACCTCTGCGGCATTGCACGACACGGGTGCACTCACATACATGCAGAAAATACACTCATACACATAAAATTAAAAAAAAATTTTTTTTTTGTCTTTTTGAAGCAGGATCTCCTTGTAGCCCCAGCTGTCCTGGAACTTGCTATGTAGGCCAGGCTGGCCTTGAACTCGCAGAGATCCGCCTGCCTCTGCCTCCCAAGTGCTGGGACTACCGGCGTGCACCACCACGCCCAGCTTAAAATAAAATTTTTTTAAATTAAAAAAAAGAGAAGCAGAAGATGCTGTGGAACCTCAGAGGATGAACGTTCCATTCGTAGTTTACTATGAATGAAATGAAACTGACATGTGCCGAAAAAGAAAAAGAAAAAAACTATAAGAGAGCTAAAAATAATCCTGTCTTGCACTTGGCTGGGTTTTTCAAAATTTCGTTATTGCAATGACTTCTCTCTGTTCTGAAAGCTGAGCTGGTCACACTTTGAGCTTGTAATGGGTTAAATGCAATCAGAGGAAGTGAGTTCTAACCAAACACTGCTTTGGCACACAAGGGCCTGGACTGCTGACAGTATAAAGACTGAGAGGCACCAGCAGGACGGAGAGCACCAATCTGGACAGAAGTGTGTTGACAGCTATGGACTCATCTGACAGTCAAAGGAAAAAAGTGGTTGTTATCGGTGGTGGCTTGGTAAGACACTGTTCAGATGTGTTATTGCTGTTTGTACTGCTATTTTGTGATTCTTCTTAATAATAACTGATTATCATGTATAGATTGTTCAACTTTTTAATATTTAAATACAGCTGTTTTAACTATGACATTTTTATTATAAATGTTAACACATAATAATTATATAAATTATTGTTATTGTATAAGATTCATTGATTTTCCATATGTGCATACATCATGTACCAATCAGGCCTCTCTACCTGTCGTTCCTCACACCTCCTTCCCAATACCTCTTTTAAGTCAGTCTTTTTTTTCTTT